CGCCCGCCTGCCCGCGCCCGGCCCTGGCCAGCCCTGCCCGGCCCTCCTGGCTAACCTGCCCGCGCTCTTCCTGCAGGAGGCTTCGACAGCTTCCAGTCCTGCTGTCCCGATCTGTGCTCTGAATCCCCTGCCCCGGCGCTGGCCCCCACAGCCACCGAAACCAGTAGCTCCGACCTCAGGGTTCCCATCTATGACCAGGTGAGCTGAGATCAGGGCTTCTTGTCACTGTCCTCCCTCCCCTGGCTAGCCTCTGGGGAGAGCGAGGAGTCTGCCTGTGTGTGTGTGTGTGTGGCCGCATGCAAAGGGCATGGGTTATGTTCTCACCGGTGCTTTGGGGAATGAGGTGGGTAGGCGAATTTGTGAGTGTGTATCTGTATGGTGTCCCCTTGTGTCCTTCTCACATTCCTGACATGTGTCTCTGGTCAGGGTCTGGCCAAGGGCTCCTCTTGTCTGGGGCTAGTCCGTGTCTGCCCTGTCGGGCTCACACTGTCCCCTAAGGCTGAGGAGGTCTCACCACCCCTCTCTCCTCCAGGGTGGACCGGTGGAGATCTTGCCCTACCTGTACCTGGGCAGCTGCAGCCACTCCTCTGACCTACAAGGGCTGCAGGCCTGTGGCATCACAGCCGTCCTCAACGTCTCTGCTAGCTGCCCCAACCACTTTGAGGGCCTTTTCCTCTACAAGAGCATCCCGGTGGAGGACAACCAGATGGTGGACATCAGTGCCTGGTTCCAGGAGGCCATAGGCTTCATCGGTAAGAGGAACCTCAGGGGAGGAGATTGAGGGCGCCGCCTTCTCGCCTGGGTATCTTCCGAGCTGACTCCCGTCCCCATCTCCTTTGCAGACCTGGTGAAGAACAGCGGAGGCCGGGTGCTGGTCCACTGCCAAGCGGGCATTTCCCGCTCTGCCACCATCTGCCTGGCGTACCTGATACAGAGCCGCCGGGTGCGGCTGGATGAGGCCTTCGACTTTGTTAAGCAACGCCGCGGAGTCATCTCCCCCAACTTCAGTTTCATGGGGCAGTTGCTGCAATTTGAGACTCAGGTGCTGTGTCACTGAGGCAGGGACCCTCTGCCTGCCTCCCTACCACGTTGGCCCTCACAATTTCTAGGAGGAGCCGAGTGGGGACAGGTGGGCTCCCGATGGCCTAGAGCATCCCCCTCGTCTTTGGAGGCCTGTGGCACCCCCTGGGGGACTGGCCTTCCCACCTGGTGCTCTTCTGCTGGGAGTTCAAGGGCTGGCCCTTAGGAGGGGACAGAGCAGAGGCACATCTGCCCTCCCCTCCACTCCTGTGGTAGAAATGACTGGACTCTACATTCATGGACTCTCTGGTCCCTTCACCATGTTGAAACCCTTGGCAGCCCGAGAGCCCTAAGGAACAAGCTGTGACAACAGGGAGCCCTGTCTACGGGTGTCCACTCTGGGTCCTGGAGCCCGAGCCAAGCTCCTGGGGGAGCTAGGAACTTGGAAAGTGAGGCGTGTGTCGTGTTCCGGACCTCTGACCTCTTGCTTACGCATACGTGAGCGTTTCTTGCCCGCCCATGTTGGTGCTGGAAAATTATTTGTGTTCAACTGACATTTAAGGCTCCCTCCCCCACTTCCTCCCAGCCCTGTGGGCGGGGGTTGGAAACTTAGCACTTTATATTTATACAGAACATTGTGGATGTGTCAATAAAATATTGTTTTGTTAAAAAAAAACAACAACAACAACTCCCCGAGTGTCTGGTCTCAAGTTCATTCTTGGGGAAGGCTTGGAAGGAAGCAGCAGTCTCCCCGCCCTGGCCAGGCCTAGGCCTCACCTGGGCTTGTCCAGGCTGGGCTGTGCCCCCAGGCCTCACCCGGGCTGGGGTTCATAGGAACTCCTGTTTCAGAGCCATTCCTTGTCCCCAGAAGAGATAGGGCCCGGTGTGTGATGAGGGGACATATCACTAGGGATCAGTAGCTTTCATACCCACCCCATAGCGTGTCCTCTCTGAACATCAGGTGAGTGCCCAGCACAGGACATAGCGTCTGTGGACACCTGGAACAGAACCATCCCAAGCCAGAAGCAGAGGGGTATGTGCTGAGGCTGGGGCCGGTGCTGTGATCTGCCAGGGAGCAGAAGTGCTGAGCCCAAGGGGGCGGCCATGCGGGAGCCTCACCATGACACTTCAAGCCTCTCAAAGTGTCTCCCATCCCACTCCATTTTGTCCTCCAGGACTCACTCAACCTCTCTGCCCCTTCCCCCCAAAACTGTCTTCCATCGTTCTGAGTGCCTGGTTTTTTTGAGGGGAGCATTGTGTTCAATAGTTAGGGACCCAGTTTTTTATTCTTATTTTTTTTTTGTGCTGAATTCAGGGCTACTTAACCACTGAGCCACATCCCCAGCCCTTTTTGGTATTTTATTTAGACATGGGGTCTTGTTGAGTTGTTTAGGGCCTCGTTAAGTTGCTGAGGCTGGCTTTGAACTTGCGATCCTCTTGCCTCAGCCTCCTGAGATGCTGAAATTACAGGTGAGTGCCACAGCACCTGGCTTATTTTTAATAGTGGTGATAAAAACAACAATGTACCATTATTACCATTTTTAACCTTTATTTTATTTATTCTTTTTTTTTAAAGAGAGTGAGAGAGAGGGAGAGAGAATTTTTAATATTTATTTTTTAGTTTATGGCGGACACAACATCTTTGTATGTGGTGCTGAGGATTGAACCCGGGCCACACGCATGCCAGGCGAGCGCGCTACCGCTTGAGCCACATCCCCAGCCCCATATTTTATTTATTCTAATTAGCAATATGTGACAGCAGAATGCAATTCAATTCATATTACACAATTTTTCATGTCTCTGATTGAACACAAAGTAGAGTTACACCACTCATATTTTCATACACGTATTTAGGGTACATTATTACCCTTTTAAGAGTTGAGTAGTTGTTGGGTGCAGACAGTGTCATGTGCAGCCTTCTAGAACTTCCCATCTTGCAAAATGGAAAATCTGCAGATTGCACACTAAGTCCCCAACCCCAGCCCCAGGTGGCCCTCTTCAACTTCTGCCTATGGATTTGACAACTCTAGGTCCATCAATAAGTGGATCTTGCAGTTTTGTTGTGACTGGCTTAGTTCATTTGTCAGAATGTCCTGCAGGTGAGCTGCATTTCTTACAAGAATCTGTTTCTCTGCCTGAACAGGGTGAATCTTCTTTTCGTTTTCTGAGCACTCTGCTGAAGCGGTCAGCTCCATGAATTTTTTTTAATGTTATTTTCCCCCAATAGTATTGAGGTGTAATTGACAACATTTGTTATAGGTGTACAACACGGGGCTTTGCCACATGGATTCAGTGTGAATGATGATCACAACAAACCGGTCAGCATACCCATCCCGGGCGTGGGCACCTGTCAGCTCCCTGCTGGGCAGCATGGCGGAGCCTTCTCTCTTCCTTGGGACCCCCGTTCTGTCTTGAGAATCGCTGGACTCCAGGTAGAATGGGAATGTGAGAAGCCCGAGTGGACCAAGCCAGGGTCCTTAGGCCTGTCACTTCCTTCATCGGGCATCAGTGTGGTTCTGAGTGCCACCAGTTCCTGACCAGGGCTGACTTGTTGCAGGATTTCAATCCAGATGGGGTCCCTGGGTGACCTGGCTAGTGATGAAGAGGAGGGAGATAGGTAAGGAACTTTCTGAATCGGTGACATAGCAACACTGGCTGGTTGTGTGGGGCTGCTGTGGGTCCGTATGAGGGTCTGAGTACCTAGAAGTTTCCTTCCTCCCGCATGCAGGCTTCTCTGGGTGCTGGTGATGTGGTGTTTGAGGTGTGCTGATCCATACAGCCCACACTTAGAATGGTGCACTTTTCTACATTCATGATTTAAAAAAAAAAACAACTTATAAAGCCTCTGAGGCCTTTCCCTCCATCCACAGATACACTGGGGTACCTTGGGGACTCAGGTGGCTTTTCCATGTCTGAGCCCAGGGTGGGACAGGAAAGGGGCCGGGGAGCTGCAGGAGGAGGACCTTCCAGCACTGATCCTCCACTGTGCCCAGGGAGCTCCTTCCCACAGCATTTCTCTGCCCTCTGCTGGCGGCAGAGGATCTCCCAAGTCCTCCAAGTCTATGTCCAGGCCTCTTCATCCCTGTCAGCCATCAGGGGTTGGGCCAAGGTCCAGAGGCTCAGGCCTGGGCTGGTGGTGGGGGCCACAGGTAGAGTGGGAGGGGCTGCAGGGGAAGCTATGGGGAGGGCCACAGGTGAAGGTGGCTGTAGTTGGAGGGGCTGCAGCTGGAGGTGCCTAGGCGGGGCCCTAGATGGAGGAGGGGCTGCAGGTGGGAGCTGGAAAAGCTATTTAATGGGGGCGGTGGACCAAGACCTGCCAGCAGGCTTTCATCCCACGAGGGTTAGTCCGTGTGCTTGTGGGGGCTGCAGGAACCCACCACCAGGAGCATGGCAGGCCTCTGGCTCTGGGGGCTGGCTCTGCTGGCCTTGCCAGGTGAGCTGGCTGCCTGCCCCCTCCTCATGGGCCCAGCCTGTAGGGCTCCATGGGGAGGCTGGTCAGGGGCTGCAGAGATCCTAACTGAGCTTCATGGCACCTTTCAGGGGTTCCTGGAAGTCGGCCCCTGGGGGCTGTGGTGGGGACCTCCTGAAGGCCTTGGGAGCACAGGCCCTACCTGGCTGCAGACAGACCTATTTATTTTGGGGTAGGGGTCCCCACTCTAGCCTGGACAGGGCAAGAACCACCCATGCTGAGCCCATTTTCCAAAAGCCTGGGCTGACAAAAGGAGCTGAAGAGCAGGTCTGAGGCCAGCCCTGCCCCTGCCGCTGTCCTTAGCAGCTGAGCCCTGGTTCTGCCCCACTCCTGCCGCCATCTTTGCCACCTAGCAGCTCATGCATTTTTAAGCCAAGTGTTGGTCCTGGAAGGGACCTCCCTCCTTGAAGTTGGCTAGGCCTTGTCACCACCGGGGCTGAGTGGGGAGGCCAGGTGATACTCCTGCAAGGGGGTCTATCCTTCACGAAGGGCTGGATCTTATAGTTTGGCATCCCATCGTCACCCCCATGTCACCCCTTCTGCCTCTCTCCTGGGGCACTCTGGGAAGCTAAGTAGCTGCATCCCTCTGTCTGGACCAGGTTGGATCCTTGGAGCATCCTTAGCCTCCAGATGTCCAGGAGCTTGTGATACTGGGGTCCCAGAAGGCCTCACCTCTGAAGAGACCCAGGTGTCCTGGGATAAGGACATCCCTGCAATTAACCAAGGTAAGGACACTGTCCTCTCTGGCCTGGAGGGGCATGACATGGTTCATGTGATGTAAAAACACCTGGATCCAAACACTGGGATCTGCAGAAAGAGCCGAGGGGCAGAATCTGGCTGAGTGGGCTCTAAGTAGGTAGAGGTTCTGGTACTTTTTTGGTACTGAGGAATGAACCCAGGGGTACCCAATCACTGAGCCGCATCCCCAGCCCTTTTTAATTTATTTAGAGACAGGGTCTCACTGAATTGCTTCAGGCCTTGCTAAATTGCTGAGGCTGACTTTGAATTTGAGATCCTCCTGCCTCAGCCTCCTGAACTGCTGGGATGATAGGCCGGTGCCACTGCCCCTGGCTCAAGGCAAATTCTTACATGGACTTTTCCTCTGTCTTTTCCAATGGGTTGTAAATACCACAGGCCTTTTTAAAAATTGGCCTGAGGGAAGTAAAGGTTACCGGGCTCTCTGACCTGGGCACTAAGCTTTATCATCAGCACATTTTGGAAAATGCTCAAGCACCATGAGGGACAGGCTGTAGGCGAACCAGGCTAGGGGTACCGAGACTCGGGACCCCCCATTTGGAGATCTCTGCTGAAACTGAGTGCACACAGGCAGCCTGGGACAAAACTGGTACAAAAGAAGATGGGAGTTCCCATGTCACAGCTGTCGGGGGCTGAAGCATTGGGGAGGCACAAGTGACCTGGCCCTGGGGTGGGTGGGAGTCTGATGGCTGTGGGCGCCATCTTGGAGCCAACTAGGAGCCCTGGCACCTTCTCCTGCTCTGTCGTCATGGGTGGTCTGGAGGTACCATCGCCAAGCGTCTTGGCGTTGACTATCAGAGGCCGTGGAGAGAACTCTCCTGAGCTGGTGGCACCTGCAGCTGAGAACCTGCCACCTCACTAGGTGGCCAGCGCCCCTTACGGACAGCACCTGTGAGTGATGGCCACCAGAGCCGCCCAGCTGTCTCCGTTTCCTGAGCATAACGTTGGCCAAAGGGAGCCGCCTTGGGACAAGGCCGGGGTGCCGTCTGTGGCCCAGCGCTGCCAGGGGACCAGCCACCAGCGTTCTTCTCAGCCCTTTCCTGCTTCCCTTGTGGTCCGCTGGAGATGGCTCCCTCCTTAGGTCACTTGCAGAAGCCACCATGGCTTCCAGAAAGAGGAGGAACACAGACAGCCACTGTGGGGAGGGGCGCAAGGGAGCTGGTGCTTGTCCCCACTCCAGGGTGGTGTGAATGGGATTTCCCTCTCCTGTCACCTGGGGGCCCGAGTGTGACAGGTGGGTAGAGGTCGGGAGGAAAATCAGGTGAGCAGGAGATGAGGAGCAGATCCTCGGGAGAGGGACTTGGGCAGGAGTGGGGGAGGGGAGACAGCTGGGAGGCCGCCTCTTAACGGGAAAGGACCTGGCATTGGGTCTGGACCCCAAGGACTGTGGGAGCTGTGGGTGGTGTTTGAGCAGGGGATGGACGCCTCGGGCTAAGAGGCAACACACGTGACTGGAGACTGAGCCTCACAGGGGCCGTGTGACCAATCTGAGGTCACACAGTCTCAGCACTTGGAGATACTCTGGCTCCAAAGCTGAAGGAGGCCTGGCCAGAGCCTGTCCCCAGCCGCCTGGGCCAATGCACATCCTCCTCTCCCTTCCTTCCAGGGCTCATCCCGGAGGAGACCCCAGACAGCAGCTTCCTGGTGGAGGGGGACATCATCCGGCCGGTGAGTGTGACCATGGGAGGACAGCACCCTCGGTGCCCACCCCCAGGTGTCCAGGGGGCTTGACATCCTTGTTTCTCATACTTGGATAGACGCCTCTTTTTGCCAAGGTCAGGGTGACTGTTCTGTTGGGAACAAGAAGCCTGAACTGAAGGAAGGTGACAGCTGAAGTGGCACTAGCCTCAGCCCAAGAGGGCTTCCTGGAGGAGGTTGGAGCCCTCGGGCCCTGCTCAGTACCCTGCCGGGGAGGGGTACTCGGGAAGCACTGGAGGAGGGGGGGGCACAGGCTGAGAGACTGGGGAGGGGGGAGCCGCGTGGCCACGGTGACCCGGGTGAGGGGCAGCCAGGATGAGGGGCCAAGTGAGAAGGGAAGGGGCTGGTGGGAACTGGGCTGGCCTGCTGGGGGAGAGGGGACAGTGTTCAGGAGAGCGACACTGTATTCTCAGCCACTCAGCAGGAGGCTCCTGAGTGGGGCAGTGTGGGGTGGGAAGCAAGCCCACCTGGTATCTGCGCTGGAGAGCCAGAGGCCAGCACGGCCGCGTGAAGCCCAGGGGCAGGGAGCTGGTCATGTGACCCCACTCCACCCCGAGCAAAATCAAGCAGCCTTCTTTGGCCTTTGGGGCAGGACTGCTGGGAGCGGTGGAGCCTACACTTGCAAGAGTTCTGGTTGGTGGGAAAACGAGGGAACGGCAAGGGCCAGGGTATTGCCTGAGCATTACCCTGAATGTCCCTGTCCCCATCCGCTTTCCACAGTCGGGGCTGCTCTGAGGGCGGAGTGCTCTGCTGGGGTGCTAGGGTGGGGCTGCTGGCTGGAGCTCATAGCCCTGGGACGCCTGGCCAATCTCGGGCACCCATCTTCTTTTTATCTACTTAATAGAATGAGTTACAAGTTCTGTGACATCCTGGACCGAGGGTTGGGTGTTGAGCATCACAATTCACATGGCTAGTGCCAGGTGTGGTGGTGGCACCTGTCATCCCAGCAGCTAGGGAGGCTGAGGCAGGAGGATGGCAAGTTCAAGGCCAGTCTCAGCAACTTAGCAAGACCCTGCCTCAAAAAATAAAAAGGACTGGGTGTGCGGCTCAGTGGTAAAGCGCCCCAGGTTCAATCCCTTAAAAAAAAAAATCCACATGGCTGGCCCGTTCACTTCCTGTGCTTCTGTCCCTCTTCCAATGGCCTCCCTCTCCACACACCATGACCCACCTGTCACATCTTTAGGGTTCTGGTGGCCGGGGGTCAGGTAGCCTTGGGGCACAAAACTTGGGTGGCCTGCGTTCCTAGACGTGTCTGAGATGTCCTCTCTCCTCAGAGTCCCTTTCGACTATTGTCAGTGACCAGCAACAAGTGGCCCAAGAGTGCCCGCGGTGCCGTGGAGGTCCCCTTCCTGCTCTCCAGCAAGTATGGTGAGTAGGTGGGGTGCAGTGCCCCTTGCTGGCCCAGCCCCTTCCTCGTGCGCTGGGCTCCTGTCTGGGTTCCCCCCCTTTCCCTGGGTGGCCACATCCTCTCTCCTCCCCAGAGGGCCCTTCTCTGAGGGTCCTTTTGTTCCCAGGGTCTCCTGAGCCGGGAGAGATGGAGAGGGTCCACATGGGACCGTCTGGTCCCCGCGGGCCACATGGTCACACAGCTAGGGTCTGTCTGGAGCTCCGCCTTCTTCCCTGACGCTGCTGCTGTCTGACAGCTTGGGGGGTTGAGCCGGAAGCACTACTCCCAGCCCCATGTGGACTTCACAGGGCTGGAGGGCTCTGGACCTCAGCTGGGGCTTCAGCCAGGCCGTGTCTCCCCCAGATGAGCCCAGCCGCCAGGTCATCCTGGAGGCGCTGGAGGAGTTCGAACGCGTCACCTGCATCAGGTTTGTCACCTACCAGGGCCAGAGAGACTTCATCTCCATCATCCCCATGTCGGGGTGAGTGCTCTGGGGTTGCAACTCTCGGCTTTCTTTTGTGGCCAGCACAGTAGGACCTGGGTGGGGTTGATGGCCTGTTTCCAGACTCTTTTTCCTGGGCTCAGATTCCCCCTGTGCACCCCAGGGGTTTGCCCCAGGGGTTCTGGGCCCACAGGACTGAAGCTGGCGATCCGGTGGGTGCTGGGCCCTCATCTGCAGAGCCCGCATCTGCCGGAGGCTCTGGTGTGAGTCTGGGCAGGTCTTGGGTCCTTTCTCGGGGGTACAGGTGCTGTGGGCATCCAGGTGGACCGAGTCCCCTATCTTCTGAGCCTCTGAGATGGGGGTGGTAGGGTACCCTGCATCCTAGCTCACCAGGCCTTGGTGCATGTGGAAGCTTTGGACTTGGGTCCACTGGCTCTGGGTGCAGCCTGTGTTCTCCATAATGACATCAGTGCCCATCTCTTACTGGCACCTGGGCTGCTAAGGAGACTTCATTGTGTCCATTTCACAGAAGGCCAGGCAGTCGAGGGACCTGGAGTAGGATGGCAAACCTGGGGCTGGTCCAGGAAGAGGGCCATCTGCTCATCTGTCCTGGGCCTGGGTGTGAGGGAGGGCCTGGCCTGCCCTGGCCCTGTCGGGGCTGCCCCAGCAGCCGTCTCTCTGGTCTTGCAGGTGCTTCTCGGGTGTGGGGCGCAGCGGAGGAATGCAGGTGGTGTCCCTGGCGCCCGCCTGTCTCCGGAGAGGCCGGGGGATTGTCCTGCATGAGCTTATGCATGTGCTGGGCTTCTGGCATGAGCACTCGCGGGCTGACCGGGATAACTACATCCGCGTCAACTGGAACGAGATCCTGCCAGGTGAGGCAGGCTGGGCCTGGAGGTGTGGGGTGCCGGGGGAGGAGGGCAGCAGCTCTGGCCAGGGCATTGCCCACCTCCCGTGGGGGAGGTTGTCCGTCCTCCCCACCACCTACCTGACCCTATGGGGTTCCTGCTTCTAATACCTGAGGAGTAGTCCAGCTGCCTTTGCCTTGGGCTCTGAGCCTTCGCCTGCCCCCAATCATGCCTGAGCATCTTCTTCATCTCTTCTTCACCATCTTCTTCATCTCCTCACTGGTACCGTCAGTCACCGTCAGAGCATGGCATCTGGGTGAATTGAGCAAGAGAGGAGCTGGGAGATGGCAAGGTGCATGTGCCAGCTGAGGGGGCCCAGGGCAGCACTGCAGGTGGACGTTGACAGGGATGTGCATCAGGAGCCCAGGGGACTGAGGAGGCGGGTGTTGGAGTGGGCCCCAGCTCTGCCCGTGAGCAGCCGCTGTGTGCTGGGCATCTGGTTCCAGGGATGGGGGATCCCTGCTCTTGTGGCTTGGTGGCCTGATTCTGGAGGTAGGATGAAGGACAACTGACTGATGTCCCCTGGGGCTGTGGTGTTGGCTCAGGGAAGGTACCTGAGGTCCAAGGCAGGAGCACATGGGTAACACCTTACCAAGGGACCAGGATTGAGAGACACTGTAGGGGGGTGGCAGTGACAGATGACTCTGTACCCAGCAATCCGAGACCACATCTTTCACGTGCTCCTGGAATACTTGTGAACCTTTGCCCTGAGAAACATCGCGTTTGAAAAGGCTGTTAAGACGAGGTCCCGGTCGTGACCATAAAATAGAAACCAATAGCAGATCAAAGTCAGAAACATCCCCCACTTAGGTTTGTTGTTGTCGTTTTTCATGTAATGTCTTCCTTTTGGCTCTGGAGTTAAACTGCAGGGATTCTCAAAAACAAAATTATAGAAACCTTTAAAAGGTTTGTGGCTCAGGCGACCTTGGGGAAAATGTGTAGGTGTATGTGAACATATTCATAAAAATAGAGAGGGGCTGGGCGTGGCTCAGCGGTAGAACACCTGCCCAGCAGGTGTGAGGGGTGTGTGACCGGAGGCAGAGGTCCAGGTGGAGCTGCTGCTGGGATGGGGCTTCATGGCCACACCTGGGTGGGACAGCAGACCTTTAACGCTGGGTCAAGGAGTAGATGGAGCAAGGCATCCAGGACACTGATCAGCATGTGACTTCATAGAAGCTGGGGGTCTGCAAAGATTCGGCCCATACAAGGTGACTTTGAGAAGAAGGAGAGGTAGGGAGAAGTGGTAGGTGCATGTCCTGGCCAGCCACATGTCCCTTGCTTCTGCATCACCTGGTATGGGTTTAGATCCCTCCCAGGGCTGGGGGTGAGCAGGAAGGGGTACAGAAGGCCAGAACCAGTGCAGGAAATTACACACTTAAGCTGAAGGTCTGAAACCACAGCTAAGTGGGTTGTCGGTGCCTGCCGCCGGTTCTTTTTATACATCTCCAGATTGCATTTTTTTTTTTTTTTAAAAATAAGGCTTTGAAATCAACTTCATCAAATCTCGGAGCAGCAACATGCTGGCGCCCTATGACTACTCGTCGGTGCTGCACTACGGGAGGTGAGCATCCCTCTTCTGAACCTCCTTCCCCTGCCCTGTCCTCCCAGCCCTAGTGTGACTCGGCTTTTCCCTACCCCTGGGTTCCAGGCTTGCCTTCAGCCGGCGTGGGCAGCCTACCATCACACCACTCTGGGCCCCCAGTGTCCACATTGGCCAGCGATGGAACCTCAGTGCCTCAGATATCACACGAGTCCGCAGGCTCTATGACTGCAGCCCAAGTGTCCCTGAGTCCCAAGGGAGAGGTGAGTGACACGGGAGGGTGACTTGGGCTGGAGAAGGCTCTGGTCCTAAAGTAGGGTCAGGGAGGGTAAAGTGGTAGAAGATGAGGTTGCAGAGGGGAGAAGATGAGGTGACCAGGGGACTATCACAATTGATGTAGGGAAAGCATTTGGAAAAGTTAACAGTCACTTGTGATTAAAACCTTTTAGCAACTGGAAATAGAAGAAACGTTCTACTTAATGCAGTCTACCAAAAACCTAGAGCAAAATCATCTTTAATGTTAAAACATTAAACTAGGACCAAGACAAAATTTCCCACTATTGTCCCATCTAGTGGGACAATATATATAGAGAATAGTGGTCTTAGCCATTGCAATATGGCAAGAAAAAGAAGTTTGAGGACTATAAGGGAAATAAAAATTGTCACTAATACTAATTATATTAAAAGCAGAAAAATCTACATTGGTGACTATGGTAATTTTAAAAGGTAAATGCGATCATTACATCAGAATCAATTATACTTCTATTTACCCTCAGAAAATATAACTTTTGAGAAAGATAGCATTGATACTACTAATAAAAACAAGGCCCTGAGGAATAAAAGTGACATAAGCTATATAAAACTTCTAATGGAGGAAAACACTTATTTTAAAAATACTTAAATACATAAACTGGTTTGATGGTGCACACTTGTAATCCCAGCAACTGGGAGACTGAGTTGGGAAGGTTGCAAGTTTGAGGTCAACCTCAGCAACTTAGGGTCTTGCTAAATTGCTTAGGACCTTCTATCTCAAGATAAAAAAGGCTGGGAATGTAGCTCAGTGGTACAGTACCCCTGGGTTTAGTCCCCAGTACCAAAACAAACAAAATCCCCCAAATTTAGGTAAGTATGTTATTGATAAGCAAACTATTTTTTTTTTGTGTGTGTGTGTTCCTGGGAATTGAACCCAGGGCTTTCACATGCCAAGAAAGAACTCCAGTACTGAGCTACATCCCCAGCCCAAGAAAATGTTTCAAAAATTCACATCTCTTCAAGTAGCTCTATAGATTCAATAAATTCCCATTCAAAACTCCAACAATTTTGATGATATTGACAGGGTGATTCTAAAATTTGTATAGAAATATGAAAGGGCAATAATGGCCAAGACAGTCCTGAAGAAAAATAAGCAGAGGAATCTGCCTTAACACAGGTTGTCATAGTTTATGAAGTATCTATATAAAGTATGCAAAATGTTTAAATATATATGCTTCCAAATGTGTTATAAAATGCGTAGCACATAAAGTATCTTTAAATGGAGATCAAGGATAGACAATTGCCCAGGGAACAGAATGGAAAGGTCAGAAATGACTTTGACTCAGTGGGACCTCCATAAGGGACATCGATGATCACAAGGGAAGTAACACATTGGTCATTAGGTGGTTCTGGGACAGCTAGGTTTCCTCCTAAAGAAATCAATTCCTAACTCGTATCATGTACAAGTTTCATTATGCACAAGACTTCCATGGAAATAGAAGTAGAGTGGGGGCCTAGGAGGTGGTAGTGGATTCGGATGCTGGGCCAGGTCCAGAGGGACAGTGTGGGCTGTGAGGACAATAGGACCGGGTGGGAGGAGTGGCTGGTGTGTGTGGATTGGCCGTGGCTGAAGGACGGATGGCAGGGTGGGCTGACTGGGAGGCTTTGTGTGGGCAGCAGGGACAGGGTGGAGAGAAGCCTAGGAACAGGCCACATCCCTAGGGCCTGGAGTGGGGAAGAGCTCCAACAGAAGCAAGTGCTGGAGCTGGTCTTGTCTGGACGGGGCAGCAAGGAGGACCTGACCCTCTCCTGGTGCAGACCAGACCTGAGGGCACTCGGCCATGTCCTCCTGGTGTCCTCCTGGGGCTTGGCCATGGCTACAATAATGGCTCTAGAGGCACCTTCAGATGGAAGAGGTCAGGGGTGGTCGGTCATACACAGAGCAGCCCAAGGAAGGGCCTGGAAGGTGGAGGCTCTGGTGATAAGTCAGGTGGGCTAATGGTCAGGGTGGCCTGGGGCACAGTGGGGAGGTTGTGGACCTGAACAATGGGGTCTCCTGGTGGCGATTTCAGGGACCGTGTGGGGAGGGAGGGGTGGCTCTGTTGTCCTGGTCCCTGGGACTGCAGAAGTGTGGGTCTTGAGGGTATCAGGCAGCGGCTCAGCAGGACTGGCTGGTCATCGCCCAGCTGTGAGCTGGCCTGGGCACCCTGCAGCATGCTGGAGCCAACTCTGGCTCTTTGCAGCTGAACATCTACTTTCTCGCTCTGATTCTTGGGCCTGACCTCCTGTCCCTCCTCTGCAGGGTTCCAGGAGGACAGCGATGGTCGGAGTCCCACCCCCGACTCCAGGCCACACCTGCAAAGGCTTCTGGAGGCGCTGTTGGCGGGACCCAGGAGCCCTGATACCCACGGCCTGAGGCCTGGAGGACAGCGTGTAGCTGCCGGGTCTGTGGAGAGCCCACACAGTGGGCAGCTCCCTGCCTGGAGGCAGCTCCATGTGGAGGCCTTGGCTGCTTCCCCAGGCCCCGCAGCAGGAGCGCCCGGCATTGCTCTAGAGCAGCCCTGGCTGGCCCCAGAGGCCAGAGACCGGCCAGCGTCTGCTCTGGGGAGCCCAGCTCTGCCAAGGGACTATGTCCCCAGAAGTCCCTTCAGAGGAATGTCTAGAGATTGAGCTTGTGGCCTCTGTCCCCAAATGGGGAGCACAGGTTCTGCCTGGAAGAACGGATTCACCAACCCTCTGTCCCTCTGAGCAGCATCCCTGTCTTTTATCCCCCCACCTGGCCACTGTCTCTGAGGCCAGGCTACTCCCTCTGTCCTCTCTCCATTGTGTTCCCCAAGGGCCTAGGGACAGGGTGACCCTCAGGTTCTGTCATAGGGGAAGGCAGGCCTAGCTCTGCTCGACTTTTGCTCTAGTCCTGGAGGATGCAGAGAATGGGAGGTGACATTCTCCAGGGCCAGGATCCTGAGGGGTGAGGAAGTTCCAGCCCTGAAGGCCCCTGGGAGCCTCCTGTAGCCGAGGCCCAGCACCCCCGGCCATGGACAGATGGTGCTGCCCTCCTTCTGCCTTGGTCGGGCCTCAGTGGGGAGTTCTCTGGCTCTGCCCCTGGAACAGCCTCCCGTCCCTGATGTCCAGAGGCTGAGGATGTAGCCCTGGTCTCCAGCTCTGCTCCCCAGTTCTCTCCCCTGCAGGGCGGGAGGACAGTGGCCTTGGGGCACCACCTGTGGGAAGACCAGGAAGAGCTGAGGCCCCACCAGGGCCACACAGTGGGAACCCAGCTGGAGCCCAGACCCGAGGGGACTGGACGCTTATCACCCAGATCACAGTTTCCAGGGAGCCTCGGCCAGAGCAGGCCCTGGTGGCCATGGGCTGCTGACCTCCAGCCACGCTTCCCTCTCCTCCCCCAGCCCCGGGCCTTCCCTGGGAGGTCTGCGTCAGGAGCAGAGAAAGTCTGTGTGCCAGTGGGTGGGTCTGGGCCAGGAGTCCCCAGGGCGCCATTCTGGAGCCAGTGGGGTCAAAGAAGTCCGTGTTGGGGTGGGAGGGAGCGGGAGCCAGCGATAGTGGGAGCCTCAGCTATTTGGGGGGGAAACAGAAATAAAGTGGGGTGCTTGCTGCATAAGCCATGCTGTGCTGGTCACCCCATGTGTGTGGGAACCGTCAACCCTCCTGGCTGCCCTGGGAGGGACCGGAGTGGGGTCGACCCGCTTTCCAGAGGAAAGAACCTTTCGAAGGCTGTGGACCTGCTCAGGGAGGCGCACGGAGGAAGCATCTGGAGGATGAGGCCTGGCCTCCAGTTCCGGGGAGAACTTGGATGTGGCCAGACTCCTGGAGTGGTCGGTGCTGAGGCTGTACCGGGGGACATAGGGCCATGCTGATGGGCCTCTGAGTGGCCGCGCTAGGCCCCTAGACGGGGCTGGAGACTGGGAGCCGCTGGCTCAGAGGAGCTGGGGTGCTTTGTACCAGGCCCTGCCCTCCTGCCCCCTCCTCTAGCTCTCGGGCTGCCTGGTGGGAGACCCCGTAGGAAGGGGCTCTTGGTCTCCATCTGGATTCTCCACAAGATGGGGCTGGGGAGGCTGGAGGCCTCCCTCTTTGGAGGTAGTCATGGAAAAGCTGCCATTGTGCCCTCCTCCGGGAAGCCACCTGCCACTGCAGAGCCCCAGCCAGCTCTGGGCCCAGCCTGGATGATGAGAGGCCCTGGGGGTTAACCCAGCCCAGGGGCTAGCTTCCCCTCCCACAGTCCCCAGCCATGGAGCTAGAGGACTCATCAGTCCATTCACTCATTCAGCAAACAGAGTGCTGGGGCCAGGCAGGCGCTTGGGTTCCATGTTAACAAGGAAGTGTTAATATTCTCAGGAAGCTCATCAGGGGTGAAGAGGGGGCTGGGGGAATAATCTGGCAAGTAAGGCATCTGCTATTGACAAGTGACAGGGGAGGAGCCCTCCTTTAGGTTGTTGGTCAGGAAGGGCCCTCTGAGGACGTGACATTTCAGCCATTACCTGAAGGACGGGAAGAGGCTACTTGTGAAAGTTCAGGAAAGAGCTGCGGGTACAAAGGCCCTGGGGCAGGAAGATGCAAGGTGTGCTGGGCCTCGGAAAGGGGCGGAGAGCGAACAGGACAGGTCAGGTGGAGCTGGGGAGGGTTTTATTCCAAGAGCAGCAGGGGGCGCTGCAGGAGGTTTCAAAGTCCTTCCAGATGCTCCTTGGAAACCAGTTGGGCAGCAGAGCAGTTGGCCATTGCAGTCATGCAAATAAGTGACGTGGCCTGCAGAGATGGACAGAAGCCGTGCGTAGTGGTGGGTGGAGGCAGAAGCACTTGCAGCTGTGTGCAGTGGGTGAGGGCCGAGCCTGTGGGGACAGCAGTGCCACAGCCCTGTGAACCATAGGGAGGGCAGGGATGGGGAAGCAGATGTGCTTAGGTCTGAGCTGGCTGCAAGACCTCGATGGGTGGGGAGCAGGTGGGCCCAGCGGGCAGGCTGGGCTGGAGGCCAGGCAGGAGAGCAGGCTGCAGTGTGGTCAGCCTCCAGCAAATGGGAGTCACGGAGTCATGGGGCTGGACAAACCACCTGAGGGTCCTGTCGTGGGGCTGTCGGCTACACCCTGGGATGTTTAGCTACGTCTTTGGCTTCTACTGGCTGGAAGCCAGTGGTCACCTCCCTGCACCAGGGAGGGAGTTGGGACAGTCAAAGGCATCTCCAGGGGTTGCCAAATGTTCCTTGTGGGGAGACGGGAATGTCATTCCCAGAACCACTGAGAGGGAGCTGAGAAGCGGCGGGCTCTGAGGAAGACGTAGAACCATGAGAATTCCCAGAAAACTGGAAATGGAGCCACCATTTGACCCAGGGTCCCACTCCTCAGCACATACCCCAGGGACTTAAAATCGGCATACTATAGCGATGCAGGCACATCTGTGTGTACAGCAGCACAATTCACAGTAGCAAAACTATAGAACCAACCAAGATGCCCTTCAACAGATGGAAAAAGAAAATGTGGTACATATACACAATGGAATATTGGCCATAAAGAAGATCTTTCTGATTTTTGCAGGTAAGTGGATGGATCTGGAGAATATCATGCTAAGTGAAATAAGCCAGTCTCCCCGGAAAGAAAAACAAAGGCTGAATGTTCTCTCTGATAGGTGGATACTAACTCACAGTCAGGGAGTTGGGAGGGAAAAATAGAAGTTCAGTTGATTAGACTAAGGGGAATGAAGGGAAGGGAGGGGAACAGGACTAGGAAAGACAGTAGAATGAACTGGACACACTATGCCGTGTGCATCTGTGAATACGTGACCAGTGTAGCTGCACTTCATGCACAACCACAGGAAAGGGATCCTAATTAGGATAAGTTAAACTCCATATGTCAAAACACTCTGTCACGTATATCTAGAAAGAACAACAAAAAAACCCTGAGTGTTCCAAGAAAAGGGAGTGGTCCCCTGCATCCCGTCCTGCTGAGAAACCAAGAGAAGCCAGAAACGGGCCTGGCCTGTGGTGACCCAGCGGGAGTGGAAGTGGAGGGCCAGCTGCAGGGGCTTCTCCCTGGGGGCTCTGGAGGGAGCAGGAGGATCAGGGACGGAGCCTGGAGGCACAGGGGCGGGAGGACCGGCCTGTGAAGGGAGGCAGTGACAGAGGAGAGGGGGCCACTGAGGCCCCAAAGGACCTGCCCCTCTAACAGAGGCAAGAGTCTGAGCTCAGGGCAGGTGGGTGCAGGGGGTGGTTGTGCATGCCTTGGGGGTGGGGAGAGGCTGGGAGGTCAGAGGGGGCGGGCAGCGTCCTGGGGGAATCCGGAGACGCTGGTGGTGGATTCCAAGCCAAGCCGGGTCGATGCCGTGGGTTTCACTCCGGAAAAAGCAGATGCTGGTCAACAGCAGGATGCGGGAGGATGACTGAGGTCGGACAGACGGAGGGGGCTGGGGTTTCGCCAGGTGACTAATGACAGGGAGAGGATAACTCTAGGGGCTGGGAGGGGGAAGGTCACGCAGGGCGACCTGGGAAGGGGGTCCCAGGGACCGGAGAGGCTGGGCCCTCTGGGGAAGTAGGGTGTGCAGCCCCACGGGGGTCAGTCCTGGGAGCCGCTGGGGCTCCCGGGGAGATCTGGGCCACCCCCTCGCCCCTCAGGCCTGGAGAAGGGCTTTCACCTAAGATGCCCCGCGTCTCTGTAGGCTGTGCCAGCCAGGGCAGGGACCACGGTCTTATCATCCTTTGAAAAAGTGCAATTGCTTATGGGCTAGGTCACCTTTTCCCTGGGGCTCCTCTCTCCAAGGACATCCCTTGGGCACCATCCTTTGGGCACGACCTGTCAGTGCCCATGTATATCATACCTGCTGCCACTGTCCCGCACCACCCAACAACCTTGGGCCAGATGTGAGGACAGGGAAGTGACGGTTTGCTCTAATGGAGGGGACAGAGGCAGTGACCCCGTGGCACCCTGTCTAGATACGATGTGCTCATGTGAAAGCGGTGTTGTGTGATGGCATCAAGAAACCTGGAGACAAGGGGCCCTTCCTCTGCCTGGGAGGGTGGTGACTGGTGAGTCACCCCTGAAACCTCTCTGGTGAGACCTGGAGTGGGCAGGGGCAAGGCAGCAGCGCAGTCAGCAGGGTAGCAGGGCAGGAGGGTGGGTCAGCGGGAGATCAAGGAGAAACCTCCTGGCAGCACATGGCCAGGTGATTGGTCTGGGCTGCTCCCTGTCTGAGCCTGGGTAGGGACAAGACTGTGTGGGCACCCAGAGGCCACACATCTTGTTCCCATGGAAGTGGGCAGGCCGGGGGTGGAGCTCTGGTGGGTGGGCTGGCTCATGTTGGGGGCTTGGGGGAGACCCCACTTTCAGAGATGGGTTGATGCCTACCCACACAGACGATGCTCTGCAGGGCCATGAGCTGCACATCACTATGTCCGGCCTGGGTTTATGGCTTCCAGGGCCACAAAAAAGCAAGCGCTCCGAGCTACCCAGGCTGGTGCTGGTGCTGCAGGGTCAGTGCCGGGGGAGGAGGGTACCTGAGCCAGACAGTAGCTCAACAGCTCTTTAAGGATGGGCATGGGGTGGGGGCTTAGTGTGCAATTTCTTCTTACCCACTCCTCTGTCCACGGCCACCCCAAGGGTATGGGGTAGGGGAGCAGGGAAGCTCCTCCCTTCACCGCTGCCCCTGAGACCGGCTTTTTCTGAACTGCCAGGAAAAGACCCCATCCCTCATGGGCACTGGATCTCCCCGCTGTGCACCAGGGCAGCGACCTCCTCTTCCCATTGGTCAAAATGTTGGCGATCGCCTTGTCCCCTTGCAAACCTTAGCCTGTCTCAGCTGCTGCTTCGAGTCCACGCCAGTTTCCTTCTTACCACCTTTGCCCACAATGGAGCAAAGTGAAGCAGCAACAGGAAAACTGAGATCGTAAACCCCAGGCTGAACAGCCGCTTCCCACTTGGGCTGGGCCTTTTCAGCGCCTCCAGGAGCGCGGACTGTCCCAGCACGCGGGCGGCAGCAGGGGGCGCTCGCAACCCGGAGACGCTCGCCTCGGACTCTGCAGGTCCCTGGAGTCCAGTCAGGGCGGAGTGAGGGATTCGGGACAGTCTCCCTGCTCCCACCCCCTCTCCGCTGGGTTGCCCCATGGCTAGGGTGGGGTTAGTTATGCTCCAGCGCCCCAACACTCCCCCACGCTCTCCTTTGGGCTTATTGGGCGACAGGAGGGGAGACCAGCTCGCACCCTCCGCCCTTGATCTGGCTGCTCGGGTCCCAGCCTCGCAGTCTCCTTCCCAGTGCTCGGCCTCCT